TATATATATTGTATATATATGCAAAGCAAACCACCAGACATTTTATCTTCCTAGTTCTATACATTATCTGCTGATCAGAGTCCACCAAGATAAGAAGGCCTATACTTAGGTTCAATTTGAGGGGTCCACTGGAAAAACGGGTCACTAACTGAAAATTGTGAAGGTATCAATTATAAAAGCTTGTGGGCTCAAAACTTCATATTTGTTTGATTGGAGTTTTATTGTTATGTTTGTAGAAAAGGAAATCTAACAAGAAATCTAACAACAATAACCAACCAGCAGTTGAACAGAAATAGTTGTGAGACAACAAGAGTTCAAAATTGATACCCTCACGATTTTCAGTTTGTTGCAAGTCCTGATTTTCCCACGGACTCCATATGTGTGTTCATTCAGTACAACTCTTGACCGTGAGCCGACATCTCTGGGTTAAACCTTTGTTGAAGAGGCCTCTCCTGTTCCTAATAATACAACGTGATCTACTCAAGTGCTTGTTTTGGCCTTTTCTCATATTGCTTTTTATTGGAATACTTTGACTTCTGAATTCTCTTCATCTAGCTGCAGACTGCAAAATCCAGTACCCCAGTTGCAAAAGTCCTGACATATAGTTAGGAAAGACAAACAGAGAGTAATGTGTAACAACTTAAAACAAACCAACGAAGATACCTAAAGATCCATATTAGTTCTGGGTGAGTGTTTACCTGCAGTGCTTCAAGAACCTCGTCTTCCGAGTCGATGGGCAAATCCTCACATGCCACCAGTTGTTTCACGTCACATTCATCCAGGGACAGAAAATCTTCTGTGCGTCTAATGAAATTAAACCTCTTTCTCATCATCTCAAACGATAAACTAGACAATTTCTGTGAGTTGAGGACTTTAGCAAGGTTAAATACTTCCACACATCTGTGTTGGGTGAGATTTTTCTGCAGGTACAACTCACATTCTTGTATGAGCACATCTATCAGGAGATGACTGGCGGCGAAACATAAACGGCTCACATTCTCACTGTTCACCACATTCCGACCAGAGTATATGAACTCGTACACATCTCTGAAGGTCTCGCTTGATATTTCTTCGATAACCACGCTGTCAGTTTCACTTTCTTTCATTCCTGAGTTGAAGAGGCCGCGAAAAAAATGAGAGCAGGAGCTCAGGATAAAGCGATGACATCTAAACGTTTCTCCCTCAACATGCACCTCAAAGTCGTGAAAGCTGTCTCGGTCTAACTGCAGCTGGAATTTTTAAAGACAAAAAAATACAGATTAGGCAAAAGTCAATGTTGATAATGTATTTATACCTCATGCTACAGGAAGTCTTTTTTTTTTAACAAGAACCATGGTTTATTTCATGTTTGTGTTTCGAGGAATGTAAAACTAGTGCCCACTAAAACAATATTCAATCACGAACGGCACTTTTCCAATAGATGTTACCACAGTATCAGTAAAGTTATGGAGGCACTAATTTAAAGCAATAATTACTCAACTTTTTTCTACCAGCAGTTTTTTTCCCATTTATACTTATTTCTGACTTGTCAGAAGTACTGGTATAAACAATATTTGTTTTGGGACATTTGAGGGCTCTTGTAGCTGTGGAATGCCCCTGCAGGTGGGGGGGCATAGTTTTACTATGTGGGAGTAAAGAATACACCTGCCGTGATACTGCGTGTCGTAAGAGGCGACTAAAGGTGCATAGGTCTGGCCACCCGAAAAGTGACAGTTTGCGGAGGGCCAACTACCCGATCCAGAAAAAAGGAAAGTTATAGAAACACGAACAAACACGCCTTATAATTTTTCCATCTTGGAAGACAAAGGAGCTTCTGCATCAGCAGGAACAATGAAGGACAGCGGACAAAGCCGAAAGGACTCTTCTGACCCGAAACCTTCTCTGTCGAACAATTCTCTCCGGATTGCGTCGTGGAATGTTCGCACCATGTATGAAGCAGGAAAGAGTTCTCAAATGACAAAAGAGATGAAAAGATACAAGCTGCACATACTAGGAGTCAGCGAAACATATTGGATACAGTCTGGACAGAAGTAGCTCAGCTCGGAGGAACAAACATTATATTCTGGGAGGGAAGACAAGCACCATGCGGAGGGAGTTGGAATTATTTTGAGTAAGTATGCGCAGAAGTCACTTTGGGGATGGGACCACAGGGGGGGGGGGAGGATCATCATGGCTTCTTTCACTACCAGAAGTAAGAGCAATAAAAAATGAACATAGTACAGACCTACGCCCCAACAAACGATGCTTCGGATGAAAACACGGATGCTTTTTACAGCCAGCTCCAGGGGGTCATCGACAAACTACCAAGGAAAGATGTCAACATCATAATGGGAGATGCTAATGCCAAGATTGTTCAGGACAACGTAGGTTACGAGGGAACCATGGGACAGCACGGCCTGGAACAAATGAATGAGAATGGTGAGCGATCTGGAAATATCTGTGCTTTCAACAGTCTTGTCATCGGAAGCTCTGTTTTTCCCCATAAAAGGATCCACAAGGCTACTTGGGTATCATCGGATGGAATGACGGAGAACCAGATCGATCATTTTTGTATCTCTCGTAGGTTCAGGCGTTCACTGGAAGATGTCAAAGTACAGAGAGGGGCAGACGTTGGATCGGATTATCATCTGCTGTTGGCAAAACTCAAGCTTCGTCTCAAAAAGCATGGAACCAGAACAGGAACCAAAAGAATGAAGTTCCAAGTAAGTCTTTTAGATGGACACAAGAAACAGGAGTTTCAACTGCAGTTGAGGAACAGATTTCAACCCTTGGCGGATCTTGATGAGGAGGACATGGAGGTGGAGATGCACTGGACCAAGGTCAAAGAAGTCTTTACTTCAAAATGTAAAGAAATACTCGGTGAGAAGAAATTGGAGCACAAGGAATGGATTAGCCAACGGTCATTGGATTTGAATAGCATTAGAAGACAATTGAAAGCAGAGACAAATGCAAGTAGAATAAGGGGATCAAAAGCAGATGCATTGGAGCAGTACAGGACAGCAGCTAAAGATGTAAAGAGATCACTGAGAAAAGACAAGGAGGAATTCATGAACAGGCTGGCAGAGAGGGCAGAGGAGGCAGCAGCAGGAGGGAACATGCGAATCCTTTACCAGACTACAAAGACTCTCTCTGGAAAATATGGGAAACCAGAAGTAACAGTAAAGGACCAAGAGGGAAAAAACATTTTTGGAAAGGAAGCTCAGTCAAGACGATGGGTAGAGCATTTCAACAGTCTCCTGAAACCACCGCCACCAAGTAACCCGCCAAACATCCTGCCAGCAAGAAATGAGCTACCAATCTGCTGTGATGCCCCATCGACACAAGAGATTATGGATGCCATTAAGAAGCTGAACAACGGTAAAGCGGCCGGTCCTGATCAGATTCCACCCGAGGCCCTACAAACAGATGCCAATGTGACGGCAGACCTCCTTCTCCTATTGTTTACCAGGATCTGGAATGAGAGCAAGTTCCCAAAGAATTGGAAAGAAGGGGGATCTCCGCAACTACCGAGGAATCACTCTTCTCAATACCAGGAAAGGTCTTCAACAGAATAATTCTGGAGAGAATCAAGTCTGCAACAGTTCCAAGACTTCAGGATGAACAGGCTGGTTTTCGGAAAAAATCGGTCAACCACGGACCAGATTGCTACACTGAGGATCATAGTGGAACAGTCCCTGGAGTGGAACTCCCAGTTGTTCGTCATCTTTCTTGACTATGAGAAAGCCTTTGACAGCATAGACCGAGCAACACTGGGGAAGATAATAAGACATCACGGAATCCCTCAGAAGTTGGTGAACCTCATCGGGAGCATGTACGAAGGGATAAGTTGCAGGGTTACACATGATGGCCAGCTCACTGACAGCTTTGACATCAAGACCGGTGTGAGACAGGGATGTTTGCTATCATCTGTCCTCTTTATCTTGGCAATCGACAGGCTGATAAAGGAAACCACCAGAGGACACAGAAATGGTATACAGTGACCCCATGGCGAACGCATCCCAGACGTGCATAAAGAGGATCCATGTTTTCTTAAACAAGTGTCTGAGGAAGCTACTGAGGATCAAGTAGACAGACAGGATCACCAACGAGAAAGTATTAAGAAGAACGAAACAGAGCCCCGTCAGAGATGAGGTGGGAGGAAGACGTTGGTGATGGATTGGACACACTTTCAGGAAGTCAAGAAGCTGCATAACAAGGAAAGGGTTAGATTGGAACCCACATGGTAAAAGATCAAGGGGAAGACCACGTGGAACCTAGAAAAGAGTCACGGAAATTGATGTACAGAAAAGTGGGAAGACGTGGAGTGACATCAAGCGACTAGCCCAGGATAGGGAAAGGTGGAAAGTGTTTGTTCGTGGTCTATATCCTGACCCAGGGTGAGAAAGGCAATGATGATGTATCTGTGGAAGGGACGATAGGGCAGACAACCACACATGAGCACACATGATACGTTAAATGTAAAAGAGATGGAAGGGAGAGATTGAAACGATGTGGTGCTGTGGACGGGAGAAATTTAGGTGAAGTAGTGGGATGGAAGGGAGAAATTTAGGTGAAGTAGTGGGATGGAAGGGAGAAATTTAGATGAAGTAATGGGATGGAAGGGAGAAATTTAGATGAAGTAGTGGGGTGGAAGAGAGAAGTTTAGATGAAGTAATGGGATGGAAGGGAGAAATTTAGATGAAGTAGTGGGGTGGAAGGGAGAAAGGTGATGTAGTAGAATGGAAGGCTAAGGGAGATATTTAGATGGTGATGTGGGGGTGTAACACTCGATATCAACACGATAAAGTCATTTATGAGGTAACACATCTACTAATTCAACTCCCATGTCCGACAGGGCCAAGCCAGGTTTTGAAAACTTCCCAAGTAAAATCCAAGTACAAGAATGGAGCAGTGGAGACTTGACTTGAACCAAGGTCAACCCATCTGCAATCCAATCCAATATCAATCGTGCTATCGCTACACCCTTAAGGAGAGAGGGGGGAGAGAGAGAGAGAGAGAGAGAGAGAGAGAGAGAGAGGCA